TGTGAAATTAGGTCGCGTTCGTTCGAAGATTTGAATGCTACTTTAAGCAGTCTGGATTGATTCGGTTTCAAGTTCGCTAAACTCCCTAGTCTGTACACCTTTATCAAGGTGACCTCGGTGATATTTCGAGGCACGAGTTGATTAAGCGGCTGTTTAAACAGCACAATGTCATGCTCAAAACGAGACTTAGGTTCAGAACTCTCACTCTCCTTGATTCCATGAAAAATAAGTGAACTGTCCCTGTGATCAGCTCTCGATGTTTCGACTACTTTTACGGGGGCAGGATTCCCTTTTATATCGCAACGTCGTTTCTTCCTTACAACCTGTACCCATTCGTCAACGTTGCTTGGAGAAGCAATAACAGTTGCGACAAACCTACTGTTGGATTCCGGAGAGTTGTCAACGACCTGGGATGTCAGGTCATGTTTCCCGCTAGAAGCCGATCGAGCCTTGCGATTGCGGCTTCTACGCGTTTCCTGCTGGATATCATTTGGAAGACGGGGAACAGAAGGACCTACTTTCCTTGAGATTTTGTTTAAGGCAGGCCCCTTCGGAGACTGCTTTTCGTTCTTTGACCGGCGTGAGTCATCTATTATCGAACTAACCTTAGTTTGCCTCATGTCGATTTGTGTGCCGACATAGCGAGTGCTGTTTGACATGTTCCGACTACGCTTGCTAAAACACTTCTTTCCAGCATCAACCAGTGAGATGGCTTCGGTTAACAGGCTGTTTGCATCCGAACAGCACTGTTGACAAAGCCAAACGCAACCCTTTTTACTGAACCTTTTGAAAGCCGCAGGCGTTAAATTCGTGCAAACTTTGTGGTACCAGCTTTTGCATTCATCGCACTGCATGCCGCTTTCAACGGAATAACGACAACCCGGACGTTGGCAACTGATTTTTTTACACTGTCCGGTCATTTAAAAGGAGTCCTTTTCAAAAAGGAACGAGATGCGATGATACTCAGAAACAAATAAATATAATCAATGACCAAAAAGTGAAGAACTGTAAATTTTAAGGACCAAAAGTACTAACAGATACAATTTAAAATGAGGTACTCAGGAGTACCAACGACAAAACTAATTAAGAGAACGGTAAAAACGGTACTCTAGTCGAATACTTTAAGTGAAATGAATTCAATTAAATTGAAAACAGTAGTCTTGATACGTAATAAACGATCAAAACAATGAAATTTACTCAGCGAGGAAAAATACCACTGTCCATTTTAAAGAGTTGCTACCACAATTGAGTTATTTAAGTTTACACTACCAGTTCCCAGACTTGAGATTGAAGAACTCAATTAAATTATCATTTTGATAATGGCCGAGCAATATTCGATCCCACTTATATTAATTATCCAAGCTCTGAGTTATGATTAATAACTTGTCTATGGAAACACATTTCATGCCTAGTAGAGTAACTTAGATTCAGTTTTTAACTTTCTTGATGGTCCTTCTGTAGTTATCTTATATGACTGTCCAGCCGTTCCGTTTCAAAACCCATAAATCGATAGTCCGTTTGGCTTAGGTCGATTATAAATGTACCATTTTCTAAGATTCATAAGACACTACGACTTCAAAAGTTCTGGAAATCACAAAGAATGGTACTGACCTTTCCCCAGTGTCACAGTTCTCGATATTTTCGTACCGGCTGTGCATGATGATGAAATTACCCTAACTGTTGGCCATTAACCTGATAGTCAGAAACGTATGTCACTGTTCCAAATTTCAATTAATTATTATTTGTGTTAATTGAATTAGTTTATGCACCGTGAAACTTCTTTGAACGACAGAACCTCGATTTTCTCTTTGATAAGTAGCCGGTTTTATGTTTGCTAACAGTTTATCCACTTGATACTCTGTGGTTTGACCAATGAACATATCAGGTGTAGAATGTTGTTCTTCGTTATTCAGGAAACCATTTGTTTTTTATCACTAGATTGTATTGATTCTAAAAGCAAAGTTGGAAAGTATTACTTTCTATCCTGAAACCATTCAGGCGCTTATGTGATTTATCAAGTATATACTCAAGTTAATATTTACGTAGTATCACTTCTGTAAGCAAACTGGCGTTTTTAGATTTCCCAGTGTCTAGTTGGTGCTTCATGGATTGTGTATCAAAAGTATACAGAACATTTGAGGAACCTAAGAGTAATGGGCGTGACATGTCCTAAGACTCATACACTTCCATTGCAAACCTTCAATGCATTAAACGTATAAAAAGTACGTTCTGGTCTCATTAGCAACCTAGCGGAAGTTTCCAGGATGCTGTGATAAAAAACGTTGAATTTTTACAGCACTTATCAGCATGTAAACGCAAGGTTAGTTCGGAATGTCCTACCAGTGAAAACTTCCCAAACTTCTACCGGAACATTCCACTGACACTGACGTAGGTACTTCACTTGTCAGCTGAAGTTGAGTCCGTCTGTTCTCAGTTACATCCAGAACACTCTAGGGCAACAAAGTTCTCTCGTGAATAAAATAAACATGAAACTTGAAACGAAACTTGATAAATGTAAAACCCTAGTGTCAGTTCTTGTAGTAAACGTCTGCCGTGGTCAGGTGAAAATAACACGGCTTTTACGAATATTCAGCCTATTACCACATCCAGATAATGGACGCATTTTGAAGCGGTAATACAAATTCAAAAATTTGGGCAACTGTTAATCGTCTATCGATCCACATACAGGATGCCAAAATCTTGAATAGTGAATTAGCTCTTTTTTATGCAGATATCGGGAATTTACCAAACAGCGTTCTCTGCTAACGTAAAACTCATTGCCAACCTTTTATATTAGTGTTTTCTGGAGTCTTGAAGTACAGTTAGGACTCGGGTAGCAAGGTAAGGACCGGTAGTTCGGGGTCAATAATTAACCTCTTCCGAAAACTGATATGACAGATGTGTCGAAACGTAATTGGTTGGTTTGGCCACAACGGTCTATAATAACGAAGGTGTTCCAAAATTCATCCTTTGCAGATAGATTAAAAACAGAGATTTATTTTGCTTCTTAATGTGCTACTCCACAATGAAAAATGCGAGTCCAAAACAACTATTTGTAGAAGTATGGCTATCCAGTCAAGTAAACGGAGTAAAGACATATTTCCATGTTTGCAGAGCAGTGTTAGATTAGATAACCATTGATACATAGTGAAGAGAGAGGGGTTGACGCGGGTCAAGTTTTAGGTTGTACCCCGAGAGACGTTTCGTGGTGTAATATAATTTTATAGATAAATCACTCGAACATTTTGGTGAACCTAGGTCATAATCTTTTACTTTTGTTGCGTACTCCGAATAAATGTATTTAACTAATTTGATTCATTTTTTCATGAACAATACCGGAAGGTGCTCTATGTTGAAAAGAACAAGAAACTTGACGAGCGATTCGCGCTCTCAGCTCGAGTGCAATTGACCTGGGATATAGGCGTTAGACTGTTTATTTATTATTACAAATACTTTGTGCAAAGGTAAATAGGCGGGTAACTAGTAAAAAATGTTCTTAAACTGTGTGACCATCTGATTGTGCTACTGACATTCACGATTCTTACGTGTGATATAAATGTGCTACATGATAAGTAGCCTAAAACTATTCCGGAGTAGTTGTGTAATTATGGTCTGCTTCGTCATTGGTACTGCTCTAATAGTAGACCTGATCCTAAAACTGTAGATTTGTCATGATGTAACTAGCTAATCTGTAAGATCTTACGTAGAAGTCACATCACTGTCTACACCGACTCATCGTATCCCGACAATCACAAACATATGATGGAAAGCACATTTAAGCTGGAGATAGAACAATATATTTAGTATGAATAGAAGGGTAAGTTAGGCAAGAGTGACCACGCCTGCAAGGCTGAACCATGCCATCCAATTCAACTGAATTGACGTTCCAGCGCTTTCCATAGTTAACCTCTTCGTATCAATTGTTCAATGTAAGTCTTTTCAGGAATTATATTCTCGGCTTCAAATGTTAGGTTGTTTGGGTCCAGTTTCACTACAATACAAAGTTCTAAAAAAATCAAGCTTTAGGATGAATATACTAGTTGGTGTTTGACAAGGCTATACGGGCTTTGTTAAGCCTTAATTAACTGAAACATATTCTCCGACCGTAGAATGTTAGTTCAAACAAATTTGCAATGAGCATCTGACGGATATTCAGGGTTTAACAGAGTTGTTGTCTATAACAACTTTGTGACCGAAATATTTCAAATCTAGTCTAATCAAAATCAAGGAATGAGGACGTTCAAAGATATATTTGGAAGTGTCATAATTAGGAGTATTTTAATTATAAAACAAACTAAGAATCCCAGAAATAACGCAATCGGGTCAAGAAGTACTAGATAAACACGAACGAATGCACTGTATTTTGAATGTGAAATCAAGCATCCGACAAGTACAAAGAAATCTTCGGCTCATACAAATGCCAAAGGAAGATATTCGACATGTCGAGTAGTGCGTAATCTAAGCCGTTTAGTTATTGGGAGGGATGGGTAGCACGGCGTACTCAAAGGAGACTTGATTTGGATGCATGACCAAGCGCATTCAGCTAAGGTGTGTCCAGTAAAGCTAATGAGATCAGCATCAATGCGGAGACTTATCGAATTTATTTTCGGGATTTATTTACCGCTACATACGTGCACGAAACCCCACTACACTAACTTATTGTTTCGACTATCAGATTGTCTGAATTTCACGTTTGTGTTACTGCTACTTATTGTTGATTATTTGAGCAATACAAATAGACGATTTTCATCTTCTTTTTCCACTTTTCTTCTAGTTTCTTTCATACAAATTACTACACACACTACAGTAAAATATGTATTTGAAAGCATGTCATAACGACAGTCTTGTCGACTTACATAGAATTCTAAAAAGCTTTTTAATCAGTATTGCGTCACATGAAATATCATCAGCAATGTAAATTCATCGATTTTATAAGAACAAAATAATTAGTAATACCATCTCCAACCTTGGCGGTTATAGTGAACCTAGAGGACACGTTTGATTTTTCCGGCGGCTATTTTGAGTGCTCTTCGAGGTGAGTCCTGATTGGTGTTTTGTCTGTTCACATTATATGCGTTATGTTAGTAACCGTTTTAAAAGTAATGCGAAATGCACAGCGTCCATTCATTTCGCATTCTCCTTAGAATTTATATGTAAAATTTTCTCTGAAACAGCACTGCGAGCGCATTTTATCTTAATCTTCCCTACCATATAATTGTATATGTTGAGTAACCCAGCTCCTGCTGTACGCTCGACCCTTACTAGAATTTATTTAAGCATGTGGTATGATCTTATGGATCCTGGTTTGGATTTTAGAGGGCAAAAACCATGGGCACCATATTGGATTGTATTACCTACATAGTCTTCACCTAGTATCAGGTAGTTTATCGATCCAAACAACTTGGGGGCTTCCCCTCGATTTTGCGTTGCCCGGCAAGTTCGTGATTGAAACTAAATGACGCGAACACGAATTCAAGTTTGTGTAAAAAGGACAGAAGTTGTATGGCGTGTGTAATTTTTTCCTAGTATGCCCCTGTGAATGTCGTCTTCTTTTGAACTAGTCAATTGAAGGTGTTGAAACCCCTGTTTCAGGTATCAGGTTACAAGTGTTTATGACGGTGCGGGAACCTGTATGCCACCGGAATATTTTTCGTTCTTGGCTTTTGTACTCACCTGCTATATCCTCTGAAATGTCCCGATCTATTGGGAATAAAAAGAGGATATATTAGGTCCACAATCACTTAGTATTCGATATTCAGATCACCACTCAATCTACGGTAGCACAGGGTAAAGAGGTCTAGCTTTTCAAGCCGCTCTTTGTATGGTAAACCCCGAATTTCTGGAATTGCACCGGTGTCTGCCTTTTATGCTTTTTCCTGGATATCGGAGTCACCTTTTAGAACGAGCTTGCAGCTTGAACGCAGTTTTCAAGCTTAGTTCTAACTAGGATTGTGTATACTTCAGTGAACATAGTAGTATCTAACTTGGTGAGTATTCATTCTAAACCCGACGTCTCAAGATCATGACTAAGTGTCACTGCAAGATCCCTGTGACGCCGGGCTATGGGTACAGACACTTCTCTTGTGCTGTACCTATTTACCTTTGTACCCCCAAAGTGTATACAGACGCACTTTGCCGCGTTGATAGGTATCAGTCACTTTTTTAGACCAGTTAACCACAATATTTAAGTCTGCCTGAAGTGTGTATGCGTCTGCGTCTCGTGATATTTGTCGCCAGATTTTTACATCAGCGTGTCGCAACATTGGGGACTCAACTGTACTTGGGTGTTCATTTACATACAACATAAAAAATAAAGGACCTAGGATAAAGCCTTGGGGTACTGCACTAAGTACTGGTTTCCAAGTGGAGCATTGGGAATTTATTCCTACTTTTTGTGTACGACCTACCAGGATGTCTTTAAGTCATCTTAGGAGAGGTCCTGCGACCCCATGATTTTCCAACTTCTAGAGCAGTCTATTTGTTGGCACCTTACCAAATGCTTTACCGGAGTCTATGTAAAAAACATCTACTGATTTTCTATTGTCTAGAGTCTCTCTTCATTGCTATAAGGAGATTTGTTGTGCAAGACAAACCTTCCCTGAAATCGTATTGTTCGCTGTTTAACAAGTTGTTGGTTTCCAAGAATGTCATTGTGGTCTTTTTGACTATTCTTCTCAGTATTTTAACCACAACACTGGTGAGTCTGACAGGTCTGTAGTTTAATGAAAGTTGTCTTGATCCTGTTTTACGTATTGAAGTGACAATTGCATTCTTCCAGTTTATAGGTAACTCGCCTTGGCCAAATTACATTGAACATCACAGTCAGTGGTTTTGCAATATATTATGCAATTTGTCTTAGGATTTTGGGGTGTAGTTAAGCTAGTTCTGTTAGCTTTTCCGTGTCTTAAGCGCAAAGGGCCTTAAATGCATCATCCCAACCGAAGTCCACAGTAAACAGACGGTTTCTTGACTTTGTTGTGTCTAGTTTGTCTAGAAGAAGCTCCTGATTGAAAACTGCATAGAAATAGTTTGCCATAGCCTCTGCTTTTTTCTAATCATCCTCTATCATTTCAGATCCACTCCTTTCCGTAATTAGGTTGGGAATCCAATGTTGCGTCTTTGTTCTGTAATTTATGTACGAGAATAGTCTCTTAGGCTGCTTGATTACAATTTGGGCTAACTGCATCTCATAATTTTGCTGAGCTTCCCGGATTGTAATTATACACCTATTTCGTATCGACCTGTAGCGTTCCATCGTACTTGCTGTGCCAAGGCTGATGGCAACGTTCCAACATTTCTTCTTTTGTCTTCACTTATCTTGGAAGTCTCATCAGCCCTTGTGGTCTGATGTGTGACGAAATCTCAGCACGGATACAGAAGGCTCGACCAGCTTTGCCAACTTAGGCCACTTATGGCGTAGGCGAGATATCCGTCTATCAACCAAAGGACGTGTTTACTGCGCAGCAGTTCGTTCCGTCCTACTTTATGGCAGTGAAACATGGCCGGTAAGAGTAGAGGATATCCGTAGGTTACTAGTATTTGATCGTAGGTGTCTTCGAAACATTGTTCGTATATCCTGGGACCATCGAGTAAGTAACGCAGTTGTTAGGAAACGGGTACTAAGTAAGGATGGCAAATCAATTGATGAAGTAGTGAAACTTCATCAGTTGAGATGGCTGGGACACGTGTTACGTATGCCCAACGACCGACTACCTCGACGTGCTATGTTCAGTGGTATAGGAGTAGGTTGGAAGAAAGCTAGAGGCGGCCAAACCAAAACATGGCACAATTCCATGAAGTCACTGACAAGTGGTCTGAGTCATGTTGGTAGGTGTAGACTACCTGGTTGGGGACCACGAGATGATAGCAACCGATGGTTAGAGACCCTGAATGACATGGCTCAAAATCGTTTGCAATGGCGCAGGTGCATCCACTCTTTGTGTTCTCCCAAATTCTAATCTTCTGAATTTTCCATGTCCCTTTTTTCCTCTTTCCAAATTTATTTCACTGTATTATACTCTTTAAACAACATCTCCAAACACTAATCTTCCCTATTACTGCTTATACTCTTGCTACCTCTACCACTACGGGATTTTAATCGACCACTGCATCTCTGTGTTAATGTGGTGTGGCAACTCGAACTGATGTACGTACGTACGAAGTTCTACGTTGTTACTGACTGAGTGACTCTTTTGTCTTAGTAAACGTCGAATATCCCGGCCTATCCCGGGATGATCGTGCTTCTTCTTCTTTGGGACTGTCCAGGGTATATGTGGTTGAGTTACCTGGTTGTATAACTACCTGGGATGAGTCCACACCTCTGAATCAATTATCCAGTTTTCAGCCGGTGCTGCAGAGTTTATCGCCTCCATGTCTGCCTTCCATACGTTAGGACGGGCCGGCGCAATTGTTTGACAGGCCATCTCGGCCATAAACTTAAGTGAGACGACTGCATGATCACTTCTCCCTAGAGGTGGGGAGAAAGTCATTTGACCGATATCACCGTATATGAGGAGCTTCGTAAGTCATATCTGACGGAATCTCTAATGTGCTGGAATAAAACTGATGCAATTGTAGTTTCTAACAACTTGCAATCCAAATAACGTTGTTGATGACCCTACTTCTTAGTTTACCCAGTTTATATACGGTAAATTAAAGTCGCCTAATATAAAGCTTTTACCCCTATTACACCATGACTTAAGTTCGCTTGGGAGAAAGTCATCTACTACACATTCTGGACCGTGGTATACTACAACTAATTTAATATATTGCTGTTTACATTTCAGCCTTCAGCGCATCAGTTCACATATCCCTGAATCATGTACCACTGTCTCGACAGCTCGTATAGTTAAGGTACTTTTCATGTACAGGATAACTGTTTAATTTATCAGCCCTACTGGGTAAAATATACTAATCAATTGGATTTCACTATTATGCGCGCTGCCGTTAACCATGTTTCTGAGATAACAATGACATTAGAATTCTCTATGTCTGTCATTGTCTTGAGCTCCGCCACTTTATTTTGTAGGCTGCGAGCATTTGTTGAGCACACCTTTGATTCTGTGGAGAATATTCCCTTACCACCCAGAGTGGTTTGAGTATCGTTTTGCTCCGAACTTTTGCAATTTGAAAACTCTTAAGTATAAGGTTTTTTCGGTGGCCCTCATTTATTTCTACTTCTGTCGATCGTCTTTTAATACGATTAACCAGGCTGAGATCCTCATGGCCATATATTCCGGATCCAGTCAGTTTTCCAGTATTAAGTTCCTTTCTTCAGCCGAAACAAAGGCAGCTTTTAGAAGGCGGATTTTTGCGTACTTTAAAAATTCACTTTTTGCCCTATTATATGAAGCCTACAGATGCTAATTCCTACTACTATTTCTGGAAGAAGTTTGCTTATTAAGGATTTAGTTTTGGCTAAGTCTTTTTCGAATCTAGTTTTTGGTTCTCTCAACTTATGAAAAATGACTGACCTGTCAACGAGCTTGGTTTTAACACTCTATGGAGTTTTGTTTCCTGAAATCATCTGCCTGCACTCCTATTTGGCGTCAAACGCAAAGGTCTTACTCTGTTTTCTTAGTTTTTTTTCTGGGTGTAACTAAGCCAATCAATTATTATATTATGTCTCTTAATCACATCATCTACACCTCTCAGGCTTTGCTCCCCCATAGTCTGTTTTGCGTTGATATATGAACCCGGAACTGAAACTAGATTCACATACCTTAGTGCTGTCTATAATTTGTTTCTTCGAGTGCTTTTTCTTTTTTCTTGTAACCATACCTACATCTGTGTGCCCATTATCCTCTTCTCCAATGGGGTCCACTTTGATGGTCTCATTCAAATCCAAAGCTGGGCTCTGTTTCCTCGAAAACAAAAATCCGCTCATCTACTGCTGCCTCTTTATCTGAGGGCATTTTTCTAGCTATATTCAGAAGCTCAATCGCTTCAAGGATCAGTGGAGACTTTGTAGAACAGTATGCTCTATACATCCAACATATTAGTGGCTTGCAGCACCTTTTATACGCAGCCGGAGTAAGCCCGGTGCACACATTATGACACGACTTATTGTAGTTGTTATATTGCATTCCATCATCGACCGTGAAATAGCATTCAGGTCTATCACAACGATGTTCTACTTGCTCCATAAAATTGTTTAATGATCTCACAGAGAGAACAACAACAGGAACTGATCTCTAAAATAAGTGTATTTTAAGACTTTATGGGTGATAGGCACTGAACACAAAAAACAGAGGTCTCTATGTTACTGTAACTGACAACAATAAAAAAAACATCCGACTTAGATAGACAAAAAATCTTAACACCTTTGGATACAAACAATACTAAAAAATATACTCAACGTGGGAAAAAAATACCACTACCCTTTTTTATCTGTACTCAAAAAGTATAGATGATAAATTACTATAAAAAAACAATACTTTTGGCGACTACTTTATCTGAAATATATTTAATTAAGGCAAAAACAGTAGTCTAGATGCGTAATTAAACGATCCATACTATAAAATATAGTCAGCGAGAAAAAATACCACTGTCCTTTTTAAATAATGCTCGTATATTTAGTTGATTACATTCAATGGATTTTATGTAAATTGAAAGCTTCTCTAAAGATAGCTGAAAGTAGGCCACCAATTCTTCCTGTCTTCCACTTCAGATGCAGTTATAACAACGATTATATTGAATCGTGCGTAAGTTATGTCAGTGATCCATTCACAAATTTGACCTAGATATTTTAAGCACATTGGCTCTCCCTTACCACGAGACTGACTTGAGGTCTGTTAGAACTCCAGTCGTTATTTGTCATCTGAATAACGTTAAGCACTGACTCACTATTTTACATTTTATTTTGCGGATTGTCTACGTAAGTATGATAAGCTTTTTGTTTTGTATTAGCAAATGCCCATTTATTTAGTAGGTAAAGCACCTGGCTTACAGCCCAGTTCCACTTTGATTTGAGAACCTGTGTGATATCGTCAGCCTCCACAGTGTTTGGATCAAAGTACATAATTTGACATATACCTAATAATGTCACGATGTTATATCAATCTTCTAAGTCTCCCCACTTAAGTTTGGAAGTAAAAATAAGCTCAAACAAGGTGTCCACTTTTTGGTGGATAAAACTAGTTATCATCTATCGCTGAACTGTCACAAAAAGTAAGTATATACTAACTCTTAATTCACTCCCTAATTGATTTAATTTCTAAACCCTAACTTGTTGTACCAAGTGTTCGTTTTTAAATCTTATTTTCTCTGGTGCATTCAAAATTCAGGTGTCTTTCACATAAATGGATTACTCAAGTGATCCACTGACAGATTGTCAGTCTCAAATGTTATCGTTCTGGGATCTCATACGTGTTGAAATAGATGGTCTAAAATGTGACCATGCCGCTTTCAAAACCCAGGACTTACCACTGGCTCGTATTAAAAAGATTATGAAGTTGGACGATGATATCAAATGTATGGTGAGTCTTGATTTTGTGTTGAATGAAGTTGTTTCAGAATAATTTTAAATCAGTTTTTGGTGGAATTTAAGGAATATCAAACGAGTGTTAAAAAAAACTACAAAGAACAAGTTTGGGTGAACAGATGTTATTCGGACTGAAAACGAGAAAATAAAGAAATGTTTCATAGCCTTATATATCAGCTCTCAGTTGACGATTAATGTCCATAAGTATGGCATGTACTCTACAGCTTCTAAACCTAATTTACTTCTCTATGACTGGCAGAAGTCTGTACCCTTACTCATTTTTGGTAGTGAGCAGTTACATGTAGTCGAAAGGTTCGTGTATCTGAGTGGTTTTGGGTGTGCTAGTGGTGAGGTGAGTGATGAGATCAATTTGCCTGTAGTAAATGTGAGAGCTGCTTATGCCATCTTTGGTGCCTTTGTGATGTTTGTCCGGCTGTTCAAGATCCAGTTTACAACGCTTCAGTGGGGGAAGTTCCGCTCTATGTTTTAAAATTCTGCCCTCTCTGAGTTGAGAAAGTTAAGTAACTTTGTGTTCGACCATCGTTATCTCTAACACATCTACAGAAACCTGGTTCTCTATTAAGCCACTGATTTTAATTAGAGAAAAACTTTTCAATCTCTTACAAATTAAATGTTTGTACATTGATTGTTTATCTTTGTCTACATTATTACTCTTCACATAACATTTCATATTATTAACTAGTCCCCACTTATATAAGTTAACTTTTCTGTTTTTTTGCAAGTAACCTACCTCTACTCTAAATAAATTTAAATTCATCTTGACAATTGACAGTCATCTTGCATGACAAAACTTCATTTGTAAAATGCAAACTACTACTGAGATCTTATAAACTTTCCTCTATAGTGATTTTTGTATCACAGCTAGCGTAAAATTAAATATTTAAAAATCCATAAAACTATAAATACTTTTCTAATTGAAATGCTCCAGTTAATTAAATATGTGATTTTTTTAAAAATCTTAATCGGAGATTTTTTATGTTAATTCTACTCATAACAGGTCATCTCTATTGATAAATATCATGTTCAACCTGCATAAATTTACTGCAAAATGAGATAAAGTTTTTTGTAACGACCTAGCACTTGGTAAATTATTTCAATATAATTTTAGAACTATTCATTTTTTTGAGTATTAAGGGTTTTCTGAATATCCTTGTACTTTTTACTTATAAGATGATAAGCGCTGAGGCACCTATATTGTTCGCAAAAGCCGCTGAGCTTTTTATACGAGAACTAACGTTGAGGGCATGGATCCATACAGAACGTAACCGTCGGCGTACTCTTCAAAGAAATGATATAGCAATGGCAGTCAGTGATGGCGACACAGATCAATTTGATTTTCTTATTGATATTGTACCACGTGAAGAAGCAAGAGGACATCGTCGGGTAAGTTTTTACTTGTTATTATATAAGCAGTTATTACATATTATGACTTAAGAAATTCACAATATTTCAGAGCTATAAAATTCATCGATTTGTTTTCTAATAATATTTTTAAGTGTTCTGAACATTAATCCTCATAATATTTAACTATGAAATATCATCTCGACGCTTGTATATATGGCTAGTGGCCGGGTTCGGAAAAATGTAGATTATTTCAACCATTTTTTAATATACACTCACATTATGTCAACGATTGTAAGTAAATTAAAACCACAAATCGTCTGGTTGTAGTTAATTAAACCAGTAAAATTACATAGCATAATTCTTTGAGGAAATACTGAGATCCTTATACAAAATATAAAAGGTGAAATTCATGCCCTTCGATGCGAATATCTCCCAGTTATCTGGATGTTAAGTTTGAATTCGGCTGGTAACTCTCAAGGACAGGATCATATCTCCAAACCTCACTTAATCTACTCAAGTCTGAGTGACCGTACTGTATTGGTAGCTTGCATACGAGCTTAGATAACCCCTTTGTTTTTGAGACTGACATTGTTTCCTGAGTAATTTATTATCAAGTCTAGGTGTCTCATTCAAGCTATTCACAGCTAATAATTAGTAAAAATAAATTATATAATTTTTAGCAACATCTCTTTGTTTTTTATCTCTGTTTAAAAATTAATGTACTATAAATGTTTTTCTACTACGGCGAGTATTCTGTGTTTTGAATCATCAGTGTTTTTAGCACATATGTTTGCCCACTTACTTTAAACCATTTAAACTCTACCCATGGAGTTGAAGTATCTTCATTCATAAGGATTGTGATGCTTCGTGGTGAAAGCCGAGATTCTTCGAAAGTCACGAGATTGATGTCCCTTCTAACAACTAACAACAAATGTTTACCCAATTCATACAAAATTAATTATTTCAATCATTGTAAAATAACAACTCTAACTAAATCATTAACGGATAGTACAGTAATATTATAATCATATTATTAGTCTGTCTCCCTATACATGGGTTCATTATATTTCCAAAATAATATTTTTATCTATCACTACTTTTAAACTGTCATATAAACCTTGATGATACACTATTTTTTTATTAAAGCCAACGCAAACAACCTCAGCTTCAAATGCTAATGGGAATTCAACGAATATGAAGTCGGAAAATCCTTCACATAGAAATAATTTTCTTACGAATACAAATGATACTCACTCATTATCTCTAGGACAAAACTCTGGTCAAATGGTCGTCTCCGGTTTGTCCAATGATGTTACAGGATCTTCAACCCAACCACAAACAGTAACTGTTGCTCTGGCATCTGCGGCCCTTGCCGGGGCAACATCTGTTAATTCAGCCATTCCATGTCAAACATTAGTGCAGCAAAATCAACCTACAGCTGTTCATTTTACAACGATCTCTTCTGGGAATGGTTTAGCCATCGCCCAGTCTTCAGCTAATTCTGGGTCAACTGTAATAGCAGCTTCAGCACCTAATGCCACCACAGTCGCTACCACCGCAGCTCCTTTGCAATATGTTCTTCAACTTCCGGTTGGCACAGCGGGAGCATCAGCTGGTCAGCCGTTTCAAATACAAGTCCTTCCCCAACATTTTCAGGCAAGTGGGTCGAGTTTTATAGGTCCGATAACTATTTCCAAGTCAATTAAATAGCAATGCAATACTGAATGCAAATTTTTTGCTTATAAAATCCCAAAACTGAGGTTTGGAAATCAGCCTGTTTATATTTTCTCAAAAATTGTGCATCATTACAGATCAAAATAGCAGTCACATTATGCAAATCGATTAAATTTTGTTTTATGTAGATATCATGTTAAACATGCTAAAAATGTTCTTTTGCAGTATACCACGTTCATGTATTAATGATTTCACTATTCCTAATAATTGGTATTATAAGCTTCATTAAAAGACCAATACCAATTTTACTAAATTTGTTGAAGTCACAATATAAATAGATAAATGTTTAAAACGGGTTATTTGCTTTGAATTAAATAGTGAGATTATTCAACTGAATGTTCTTAACTCTTTATTATAATAAAAATCAATGTCTTTTAATAGATGTTCACATAGAAATTTTTATTGAATGTGATTGGTGTGTAAAATAACACTTGTATGACTTCAACGACCACTCTATCGAAATACCTCATAATGATCCAGTTAATAGATGTGCGATACGAATTGGCTGATTGCTCACAAAACTTAACTGTCTTACAGAATAGGGGGTGTGGCTAGTAGTAGAATCCAGGACGTGTATTTCGCTCTAATTATTACTCCCCAGCTGAATGTACCTGTAAAGCATTGACAACGGAATAATCGAAACCATTACCAGTTAAACTAAAATTCATTCTCGTTGTACAGGCGAATGGCTATCTGAACTCAGTAGCTAAGTTGGCAACGCGTTGGTTTTCTAAGTGAAAGGCATTACGTTCAAATTTCGTAGTGATCGTCAATTTTCGGATACAGGTACATTCAGCTGACAAACCCCAAATAGAACAAAATGAATTTTCTGTATCCCACTGCTATACACATTTAATATATTCGATAAGTACTTGTGAAACAACAGCTATACCAAGACAGTCGGCAGAGAATTTGCACATATGCCAGCTGAGATTTAAATCCAGTCAAAACACAGACAACGTGATAATCCTAATTATTCCAAGTCAAATTAAAACTTAACCTTTGATTCCTTTTCTGATAAAATATCACAGACCCAAGTCAAAAATATCGGTAAATTTAATAAGATAATCATTAAACATTGAAGTATTGTTTGTGGTAACGAAATCCCCTTCAAAAATTAATATAACATCTAGAAGAATCTGTAGGTGTTGCTAGTAACCCCATTTCTCATGCAGTTCATGAAGTGAGAAACTACTAATTTAAATGCCTTCTTAAGATAATTCTCTCTCTCTCTCTCTCAAAAAAAAACAATCAGACAACCAGAACTGACACACGTCCAACTTACATAAATATTAAATCCCCAGTGTTTTAGTAACAAATAGTCATAATTTGTGTAAAGGGCATGGTGTTGGACTTTTAACTTATGATTATGCGATGCAGTTATTATGGTGTCGTCTGTGTAGCAGATAATTATACACAAGATTTCATTTATGCTGAACACCGAACACTTAGATATGATTGAATGGGAAATGACGGCGACAAAAGAGAGATGAAGTGTCGTAATGTAGTAGTGGACTTTTTTGTTTAGTCAGAAAATAATTGTATTCAGAGATTTATAATTTAACTAACTGAAGTGTTCACCACAGAATGAAAGTTAGAGTTTATTCTGAAGACTAGTTTGGGATGTGTCATATTAATGCACAGTTGAGATTATAAAAGTAATCAAGAAAATGCTGATTGATTGGTGAGTGCCAACGTCACGATGTGCCCAATTGCAACTGCTTACGAATTCAATTAGTGACATAAGCTCCTAAACGAACCAATATCAAAAATAAAACTACTGGACAGTGAAATGAAAGATAACCTTAGATACAAATTTAACATCTCTACGTATCATAAGCGATTACAGGATATTAATTTTTCATATTGCTCACTCCTTAATAATAGCAATACTTAAAGGCAAGGTTTTATCCATGCTTATCATACTAGAGTTAATAATGTACTTGAACTGGTCTTCATTGTAGACTGATTCGGTTTGTTAAAGAAGAATGACCACAAAAATTGACCTGAAAATCTTAAAATGACATAACATGATACTCAATTGTTGTTTCGTAATAGTGTATTTCAATGCTTAAATAAGAATGGGTAAACTGTAGATCATTGGTGTTTTTACTATTTTTAAACCTGTACAGTATGAATACTAAAGATGGAAAAGTGATAAATTTTAAACTAAATCATAAATCTCATTTAGTCATACCATATTGTGCGATTAAATCACTGATTGGGTACCGTTAAATGTATTTATGAAGTTCTGGAACAGAGAAACAAGTCAGTTTCTAGGGCCTTTAAATTGTATTCATCGGTGGTTTGGACATATATTATACACGAAGCCATTAATGTGCAATAATATTTAGTTTATAGTTATATCAACGGTTTTTGATTAGCGCCCAAGCTATTTATTGTGTTATCGTTTACATTGTTTATACACGCTACAAACAATTACAGTTGTAATAAACACTTTTGCTATGTTGTTATTATTTAAATATTTAACCAATATTTACAACAGACTGCTAACACTGACGCTGTTTCTGCCGGTCAAGCTGGTGCTATCCTTGCCGATGGAAATACACTTCCTTTAGTTCAAGTTGTCTCTCAACCCGGTGGCATAGCAGTTCCAATCATTCAAGAGGCTGGTGGCAGTCGAACTCAAATTTTACAGCTTCAGGTAGACTGATATTCTCTGTGTATATCACACTCACATGTCCCAGTATTACAGTGTTCTATGACATTTTTCTTAAATGTCCAAGTTATTAAATGTAACATCTTCATATTGCCATCATCTAGCAGCCATCATACTTCTATGTTGTATTTAAGGATATCTAGGTTTTCTCTTACTACACATTCAGTAGTTTTCTGTATTCCACGTATATATTGTATAGAGCAGTTATTAGTACCCCACCTAGCTGACAAGCCATCAGATAGTTTCTAATTCAAAATTACATCAGTAGAAATGTTCTAATACTAATATTCTAATATACTAAATCGATGACAGTCAATTATTGGTTAAGTCTAATGTATCTTTTAGTAAATAGCCTAACATGTGGTCATATCAACAGAGCTTAATGAATGTCACAATCTATCTATAATGAGTATGAATATCCTATCATGTACTATTCTTTTTTGAATACCATACCAAGCTTTTGAAAAACATTAGTTATTACTTTCATCTTCATTAGTAAACCAAATTTTTATACAGCGTATTGTAAATTCAAAAATAATAAGTTAACTTTTCTTTGGTGCAGTCCTTGTAACTAGGTCGGCTGGTTATGGGATCAATTGATATATCTTATCTTCTTATCTTTTGCAGGACTAATAAGCAAGCAATTGACACAATAATGCCTGTTGCTCTACAAGCTTCAAAGGAGGTAGTATTCACTCAAAAGAATAAGTCACCAAGCAGAATCTTTCTCTGTGTTTTTGGCTGAAAACTCAGGTTTATATACATTAATTACAAGACTTAAAAATATAAAGCTACAATGTAATAAAAAACCGAATTAATGGAGGAATAATTTAATTAGTGATTATTTTGGGATGATAAATCTTATACCACTAATTAATACATCAAATGAAAGCACATAAATAGGATAATGTGAACATACACTAATTCAAGTATTTGACATTTATACAGTAAAGTTATAAGTGATAATTCTCTGGCAGTTGAACCTTTCCCAAATCCACTCAGATTTTTGAAAGTTAGTAGAACATTGAATTGCACCTAACGTTTGTTTATCTTAAATACTGGCAGCAGTACACATTTATCAAGTCAGTGTAATAAAATCCTCTAATTCCTTTCTGATAATAATATTAATAAAATTATGTACATTCTTTTGTTTTTTTTTCGTTCCACTTAGATGCCAGAATCAACTGCTGGTGTAAGTATCGCAAGTGGCTGTTAATCTGTCCGTATGAATCTCTAATATACACCTCTTCTCTTTCTCTGTATGTGTTTGCTTGTTTGTTTGTATGTCTGATACATTAGTCATATAAAAAATGTTGTACACCGCCCCCCTCTCCATATTTCATGTTTGCGTTCATTTCATTTTTACTCGTGTGAACATTTAATCATTCAGTTGTTGTTTCGTGACTAATTCATAAAGATTCTAATGTGCTGCATGTTTATTTCCTTTTTTAAGATCTTCATTTTCTCTGTATCTCCCTACTTTCCTCTTTATCTATCTATAATCCATGCATGTTCGGTATAAACATTATTATTATCATTTTTATATTGCTTAATTGTATCGTTTTATTGAAGTCATTGATTTTTATGATATTATCATTATTATCGTTGTTGTTCCTCTGTTAATTTCTCTCTGCATCTCTTTCATATTTTATAAATGAGATTTCGTCTCTATATCAAACAATTTCCATGCATATTGTACAAAATATAAACTTGACTAGACGTTCTCCTTACTACATATATATATATATATATATATATATATATATATATATATATATATATATATATATATATATGGTTCTGTTTGTTTTGGAGCATTGACACGTATATTTCTCGCCTCTGGTAAAAACTCAACTCTAAACATTTCATTAAATGCATGTCTGGAAAAACCTAAAAGATTCGATTCAACTGGATTATTTGTTGTACAGTAACAAAAAATCTATTGTTACCTTAACAATTTGCACATTAAATGTACACGGTAATATATATAAAATCTTAAAGTGTAAAAGCATTTTTCTTCTTGACGCTTTTCTTTTATATCTATTTACACTATATCACAATGTGCATCGTTGTTTTGTGAACGTCCATCTAGTGTATTTATTGTGCGCAACACATTGGTTAAACTTAGATGCTTTTTCTCTTTCTTTTTTTACTCTTGTTTACTAATCCTAGCAACGACCGACCTTGTTTCTACAGCAAGCCGGTGCTCTGCTAGGGACTCACATGGGTGCAGTAATTGCCAGTGTAGATGGTCATTCTCAACAAATTATGTACAGTTTACAAGCACAACCTCTGGTTTCTTCAAACTCTTCATCAAGAGCCCAAGTTCTTCTTTCATTGGATGAGGCATCTGAATGTATCTCATCTATTGCAGATTCAAACTGTATAACATCTAATAACAGTATCCATGCTGGTGCTGCTCAGTTATTAGATGAAGCAGCTAGTGAATTAGATATTGCATCATCTGTTGCTGTACCACATTCAGTAAGTACTGAAATACTTGGACCTAAAGATTACACTCCTCATTCTACGGAGCTTGATCACAAGCCGGTTATAAACTCCGGTAGTGTTATGATTACTGATGATCTTGTAGGTCTAACCGAAGGTCAAGCAGTCGAGATTCACACCGTAGAGTCAAATAACAGAGAGCGCTTGGAGTCTGGAGTTGACAGTAGTAATCCGCACCCAACTGTTATTACAGATGATGATGAAACCGTTTGAAACGAACACTTTGTCATATTCTTAATGTTGTCCAGTTTTATTCTTTGCTTCAAAATACATGTATGTATATATGCATACCACTACAGAACAAATTTCGTCCTGTTAACGTAACTCGTCTATAACATGTTTCTTCAACGTTTTATTTGCTCACAGCTATGCTATGTATTAAAAATGTGTGTTCATAAACTAAAGACCGCTATATTCTATGAATCGTGTGAATAACTATGCCGAATACGAAATATTATAATAATTCTATATATACCTTTCAGTCTAATTGTTTATATGAGATTTTAATGTTCGCATATTTAAAAACGTTTACTCCAAAATATCTTGTTTGGTTTTATTTTCAAAACCTAGTATTTATGTTACTTCGTTTATTAAATTATTATTTGCTTCTTGTGAACTAATTCAGCAACCTGTTAGACTAGTCGTATTATGTTTCACATTCAGCAAACCGCCAATTGTCATAAGTAGTTTTACAGCAGGCTAATTTTATTTAACGATGTCCCAAAAAAGTAGTTCTGGCTAACCCGTTTGTACTTCGCTCTAGAAAGTTTATTGGTGAAAACCGCAATGAATATGGTTAACTGCTGTTCCACGAACAGAGTCAATGTTGGGCTTGAGATTTAATGTCTGTCAAAGAGAAACACGTAATGTAAGTTTTGTGTGATCCCGTATTAACCCATGATGCTGTACTTCACATTACAGCACCAAGGGAAGAGTATGATAACCAGTAACTAAGATGACGCCAGCTGAATAAATTCGAAAAAACCATTGGAAAGCATAAATACGTCCAATACGCGGTTTTACAATTGATATACATGTACAATAATGATGCAACCTCATATCAGATTAGTATACCCTGAGAGTTATTTCAGCAGTTTAATAATCTATATCTGATTTTTGTCATTTCCTGGGCTAATAACAAAGCTTTACCGACCTCACTATTTAGCTGTAAGGAAGCTTAATTTCAATCAATACTATGTATCCATAGAACAATTGGGACCTAAGATATAATTTATTTCTAATTACTAGTATTCCTCACCTTTTTGATCTTCTATAAGTTACATGTTTAGCCAGATCGAGTTTCCAGAAACAAAAAAGCTTTTTTAACATCGTTTTAAGAATGATCATTAGAAGTATTGGTTTATAAACTTAGTTTCCTATGGTGTATTGAATAGAAAGCTATTTCCCAGGGCTCTCGATATGCAATATCATTGAAATAAAGCAAATCATACAACGTAGTTAATAAGTTCAGGACACTCATACATCAACTAACCTTTATGTGGTTTAATGTTTCAAATAAGTCCACCGTTTGCAAACAACTTATTACCAAGCAATGGTCGGAAATGGGAAACCGTTGGCTTTTATCCTTATGTCTAACCAAGTGGTTTGATTCTGTACGATGCGAAGTCAGAAAAATCTGCAACCCCCGATATTATTAAACAAGAACTGTAGTATGACACAACTTTTCTTCAGTCACAAACGAAGTAAAACCTGGCCAATATGTTTAGTGATTCAAGTCGCCACAACACAGGGAGATGAAGTTATCAAGACAATTCCCAGAGTAGTAGGAAGTACGCGAAAAATAAAAAGCATATGACTCCGGGACTCAAATGTAAGGGCAGATGAGGAGTGGATGCATCTACTTCATTGGAAGTGACTAAGATCCAACGTTCCCAACTATATAACGATATCAGCGCGGACCCCAAACCAGAGAACATGCATATACCTACGCGGCACAATCATTGATTTCACGGACTGATGCAATGCCTTGGTATCTTGTACTTCTACTGTTCATACAGCTACTCTACCATACCCTCGTCTTCATCAACAAACATATTTGTTTGTAAACCACCGACGAAGACACTAAAACGGCCCCCAGAAAATTGTGGTGGTGCACACTGTATATGCTCAATTATCCTACCCAAACTACATCCTGATGCGTTTTAAAACCAAGCACAGTTAGTGACCAACCTTGGCAATGAGGCCTAATGGCTGTCCAACCTTACTCCTGGAAATTTTGTCTGGTTATACCACTTATCTGACTATTAGAATAATCTTTTACGGCTCGATGTTCCTAGTAGATCAACAGCTAGTATTTGCCGATTTAATAACCAGGGCCGATGTTACGCAGCCTAGTAACTTCAGCGGTATGAATGTTTCCTAATAAGATTGGTCGCCAGTCTCGGAAAATTAAGTGCTACCAGAGCAAGTGTACCAACCCACAAATACAAGGAACAATGATTTTTGAGTTCACTGATACAATTTGATCAAGTCCAGTAGCTAAATACATGTTTGTGCTGCATGCTTCACAATTTCTGAGCGCTTGTGATACTACTTAAGTGCCTAAACCGTGAAAACTGGAGCAGGTATAAAAATGAGACCCATTGGTCGTCAATCACAGGACTCCATTTTGTGACATAGACACTGAGAAAAACGAAACTCAAAATAGAGGAAACATCTACGCTATTGAGTTTTTCTAACTGTTTACAACAGATATGATTAACATTCTATCATACTAAAAACAACATAGACTTCAGTCCGTTATATTTTTATGGGCCATAGTTATGCCTTTCCAGGTCGTCTTTTACTGCATTTATTACATATCTAACATGTGACCAAATCCCAATTCAATATTAATGGTATTCGCCTTACATATCTGTACTTTCTTTTCAGTGATCAGTTTGTAGAGATAGTTATAACACACTGCTTGTTAACCGGCTATTTTAGTTCCTAATATTATTATTATGATGATTTTGAAGCAACATTAAATGTCGTGCCATATATCCTGATTCTTGCTGTCATTATTCTTAACAAATTAGATTAATATTACTAATGCTGAGAACTTCTTAACTTATGTAAAGCTTTCTACGAAAACTGTCACAGCCAGTTTTTAAATAAACGAGACTTCGAATAGTTACGAATAAAGTTAAACTGTTATGAAGTATTATAAAACATTTGAAATACTTACTGTCCTACTGACTACACATCCTGGATGATAATATCAACAACAAACGTCAACCTCAGGAATCGGCAGTCAACTAGGGTGAAGGTTCCTTTTCTGTCCCAAAACAAACCTCACAATAAGCAGTAAATCTGACAAACCATGCAGGACTCATTTCCGCCATTAGTGATTTCTGGGAATGTTACGGATTTTAGGACAAAGTAAATATTATTTCTATTGTTTTTTTTCGTTCTCACGGATTTTAAGAGTCAATTACATTAGACTCTTTAGAGCATGAAGGTTAAGGAGATTTACGATGTAATATGTAGTTGTTCTGGCCAAAGACTATTAGTTACAAGAATAATCTCCCAAGATATTCAACACTGATGACTTGTTTGTTTGTGCACAGATGGAATTCGTGGAGTCAAACGATGTCTAACTTGTCTACTCCTTTTCGGAGTGTGTGACCAAATAAAATTTTTAGCCGAACTACGAGTAACCTAAACCACAACTATGGTACACCATAGTACAATTAAGAAACCGACTTTATAGGGACATCTTTTCAGACAGCAATGAAGTCCTATACCACAAGAAATATTACTTCTGAATCAATCACCAGATAAACAAATTATCTGGTGAGAACAGAGTTTAACTTACTGTTACTAAGTCACACCCAACTCACCAGAGTTACTAATTGGTGGAAAACAGTTCATACGTATGCCTGCATCTAGGTGGGTGCTATGGTTTTGTTTGTACTGGTAACCTGTTACTAAGCCATTAAGCATATGTGAATTTGTAAACGTATTTACTTATTGTGACAACTGTAATCTTAGAAATCGAAGTTGTTTGTGTGAGTGACTGGATATTGAGTCTAATTCGGAAGTCCGCTTATGATTAGTTAAGAGTTACATTTACATGATGATACACCACACAAACCATTAGATGTCTAGCTTGATGTCAGAGGGTACTAAAATGTTTAAAAGACAGAGAGCAAGAATAGTTATTTGTCTTATTTACATCTGTTCAAAATTATCCGAACAAAGAGCAAATATTTGGACTACGGAGAAAAGTGATACTGAAATTCCAGTAATTTCACGAGTAGGTAGACATTATGGAAAAGTAAAAATAGTCGTCTTCTTTATAGCTCCAGAAAACCCAAGGTGTAGCCGTAGTTTGAGATTCTCCTGTATTCTATGGCGGACATGATTCTAGAGTCAAGTAGACAGGATGTAGAAATACAAACTCCTTCTTCCGAAATTTTCGGTATATATAACTGTATGATTACCAAGCATCCCTAAGTTAGTTCTTAAGGTCGGAAAAAATCTTATGGACCTTGTGCATCCACGTTTCAAAAAGCCAGACCACATTTCCAATAAATGTAGTATTATCAAGATAATGATCATACTAGGTTACTACCTTGGGTAGAAACATGAATGACGCAACCAGATAAATTGCTCCAATATGTAGCAATCATCTATTTATACTTGACTAAGCCTGGATCTGATTATTTTTTAAATACCGACCAACCATTCTCTTTTCATCCTACTTTTACCGCCCAGAAGATAATAACTAATATGAAGTGGATTCGCACTTCAGAATAATGAGCGAGCAGGTATAGCAAGAAAATAATAGATAGCACTAGCTTTTTATTCCCATTATAAGTGATGTTTAAAACTAAAGGGTACTAATTTACAAACTAATGTTTCTCATGATGATAAAGATGATGGTAATGAGAGGCAAGCTCTTTACCGGGTATGTCATGAGGGTCGAAGTAGTTAACAAACTTCCTGGCTTTCTTTATTTCATGTCCTTTATAAAAACCATAAATAGTAGGTGGGGCGCAAATAAAAAGGCCGACGATGTAAAACCTCAAATATGGCCTGTTTTTATAAACATCAACATATGGAAACTGGCGAATCTTAGCAGTGAATGTCCATGGGTAAACCATTTGACGAGAACTACTTCTCATGTAATTTTCAATTTTCTGCATCAATGATTCCATTGAGGCTCTATAGTAATTCATCGTGCTGAAGTAATGTTAACAACAAACAGATAATAGATCCCAAGTCAGAATATTGGTACTCCGCGCCAGAGTTTTTATTTCGCAACTGATTGAAAATGCTTAACCATAGATTTTTTAAACTTAGATAGACAGATTGACACCTTGTCATATCTGCTTAATTAATACATATCGTCATCAGTCATGGAGGGGAAATGTAACGTTCAACATTCAGTAGGTTCGCGTTCAGTTTAAAGATACTTGTCCTAGGAGATGTGTGTGCATCAATTTGTATGGGAGAATCTGGAAGAAAGTGGAAAAAGAAAACAAACCGTCTATATGTATTGCTGAAATAATCAACAATAGGTAGCAATAACACAGACAGACAATCTGATAGTCGAAACAAGAAGTTGGTGTAGATGGGTTTCGTACACGTATGTAACGGTAAAT